AAGAGTGCATGAGGCGTGCACACAAACCACTAGGCTAACAGTCGCAGTTTGAGAGATTTTTAAGGAAGTGGACGACGTATTCGACTACCATACCAAAATAATCATTACACAACATTTAGTCCAGACCCAGTTTTCTAATAGGACAAGAGGCGTTCCTTGTTTTTGCTATAAAGTTACCTTCCAATGTCCATATTTCAAGTTCCTTTGCTTTTCCGACGGCCGTGTGTCCCACCCTACTTGGTCTGTTTCTTTCTTTTTTTAAGGTTTATTTTTGGGCTTTTTATACCTTTATTTCAGTGACAGGACAGTGGATAGAGTGGGGATTAACATGCAGGGAAAGGAGCAGCCGATCGGATTTGAACACGAGCATTGACTAGAGAGGGCGCAATCAGCACGCTGCACACGAATCCTGTGGAATCGGCCAGCGGCGCCCTGCACCAACGGGATGCGATAAAACGGTTACCAAGCTGCTCTATCAATCTACCTCAGTGTGTGTGTGTGACAGTTAATTTGCTGCCTTCTCCTGCATGTGTGTGTGTATGAAGTGTGTCAATGTGTGTGTGTGTGTGTGTGTGTGTGTGTGTGTGTGTGTGTATGAAGTGTGTCAATGTGTGTGTGTGTGTGTGTGTGTGTGTGTGTGTGTGTGTGTGTGTGTGTGTGTATGAAGTGTGTCAATGTGTGTGTGTGTGTGTGTGTATGAAGTGTGTCAATGTGTGTGTGTGTGTGTGTGTGTGTGTGTGTGTGTGTGTGTGTGTGTGTGTGTGTATGAAGTGTGTCAATGTGTGTGTGTGTGTGTGTGTGTGTGTGTGTGTGTGTGTGTGTGTGTGTGTGTGTGTGTGTGTATGAAGTGTGTCAATGTGTGTTTTTCAGCAGCTGGACGCCCTGCAGGAGGAGGACAAGCCAAAACAAATGTTAATGCTCAGAGGTGTGTGTGTGTGTGTATGTGTGTGTGTGTGTGTGTGTGTGTGTGTGTGTGTGTGTGTGTGTGTGTGTGTGTGTGTGTGTGTATGTGTGTGTGTGTGTGTGTGTGTGTGTGTGTGTGTGTGTGTATGTGTGTGTGTGTGTGTATGTGTGAAGGAGACAGTTAAAGTATAGACAGTGTTTGTATGAAAACACGGCCTGCTACTGTTCACTCGGCTCTCTACATTTCCACTCTCGGTCTAAAATACCTCTCGTCGTTTTCTCCTGTTTCGACTTGATTTCATTTAAAGGAAACATTAAAGATCTTCATTTTCTTTAAAGCTTTTCAGAAGCTGCTCCTTCTTCTTTTATGACATGATGGATGCAGACTTTGAGATGAAGTGCTTCATTCATCGAGCACAAAAGCGATGAGAGAAAAAGTTCCATGTTGAATCTTTTTTTTTTTGTCCTTAAAGACGTCCAAAGGAAAGATATTTGTAGACTTCCTTAAAGGTTGATCCGTCTCTTCTGATTAAAACAAGTCAGGAGGAGGAACAGATATACATCTCACTCTGAAAACAACTTTTAAACGTCATCCTGGAGTCCTTCCTGTGTTTATAGATCTTCTCTGCGATGTCTCCAGTTTGTGCAGAATGCTGCTGCACGCCTGCTTAGTGGGAAAACATTACACTGTTGCATAGCCTGGCCTCCTGTCCGTATTAGGACAGAATTTTAAGATTGTATTGATAGTTTTTAAGGTTTTAAACATATTGGCTGCCTCCTGTCTTATCGCTCTCTTGCACTGCTAACAGCTCTGAACTGAACTGAGGAAAACGGCATTTTCTTTTGATGCCCAAAACTCATGGGACGGATTCAGATTGTCCTTCCTATCCCCTTCACTATCCTCTTTACCTTAACATCATGAGGTTAAGGAAAGGTGTTAGGAGAAGTCATAAAGGAATAAGGGAAAGGTGACCACGGTTGTTCTGAGAATCCGACCGCTTTTCCTCTAGGCTAAATGTTGCGGCCGCAAGGAATTGTGGGACGGCCTTATCTCATCTCCTTTGGTAAAGGATGGTCCGGTGTATCCTATGCTAAAGGAGGTTATAAAGGAAGCATTGACCCACCTTTCCTTAGCTATTAGAGAATTCAAACGGCTCTCATCACGGGTCATTTCCCTCAGTTAGGAACCTTCCTAAGCAAAAAAAGACAATTCAAATGCATCCTTTGAAAAGTCCTCACAACCCAAAAATGGTTGGACCCCGAGTTTAAAGTCAACATTATCCATCTTTACTTACTGACACAACTAAATGATCCATCTGCAGAAGTCCGATGATAATGAGCATTTGTTGTCACATCTGTATGGAAGTTAACAACAATGTGAAAAGAAACAAACATGCTGTGTTTGTTCTCTGCTCTGGAGCTCTGAATCTGTTGTTTTAACATCCACATGTTGTGAGTCGTGCAGCAGCGTTCACCAACACCATCATCACTCACTGCCTCCACACTGTCTCAGCTCACTTTGTCTTCACTCTCCCAGTGCGTACATATGTCACTGTTATCATTTAGTCCTGACAGCTTATCCTGCTCTGTGTAGGAT